AGTCATAACTTGGCTTAATTACTAATTACAGTCATTGCGCCACAAAGTAAAATTCCAATAGTTATTACCTCTCGAACACCAAGCCCTTTCTGTTTCTCAATAAAACCTAAGAAAAATCTATGCTTTGACTCGGAGGATTCTAAGCGAAACTTTTTATTAGTTCCGTTACCAAACGAAATAACAAAGAGAGAGAGAGAGTGTGTGTGTGTGCGTGTGTGTGTGTGAGAGAGAGAGAGAAGGAAGAAGGAAGAAGTAAACGAAATGTGGAATAGAAGAACTTCCGTTCGCCATAAACTCTCAACTCCTTTTCCTTCCTTTGTTTCGTCGAGCTTTCGACAAATAATCGGTTCCTCCCCTCTGGCGCAATATAATGATATACCTCGAAGGAATACCTTCGTGTATATCCACCTGTCTACATTCGTGCCCGCATCGAATGAAATTGTCTCGCGAAGTGGCTTACAAATATATTACAATAAGGTCGCAATATTCCAGCTTCGTCGCCGTATTGGCTATCCCAGAACCGTCTGATTTTCCCTTCTGTTCGGCTCAAAGGGATTCCGGCTCTGTCTATACGTTGTATACCGGTACGCGAGCTCCACAGAACCCGTCTATACGACGAATACGTACCATGCCGGCCAGGGAAAATATAATTCAGTCGATACGTCGGTCTGTTCTGCTCGAAATAGTCGATAGAATCGCTCAGTTCTCGATATTAGTTTCTCCATTCTCTCGTTTTCCAACGAGTTCATTTAACCCTTGTGTTGGCCATCAAGCTGTTGTTCGTGAATCTTCGTAACGATTGTTCTTGCCTTTTCCATTTCAATGTTCCACGGTGATTAGATGATACATTTACGGGTTTACATTTACGTTCCTCGGCTTTCAATTAATACGTTCCGCTTTTCAGGTATGCTCTGAAGAAGTGAACTGGAATGTTCATAAAACAAAGCGCCACGAATAAAATGTCGCGCCGCAATTGAAACGCGAAGAAGCAAATATGTGAATTTTTTGTATTCTCGTAAAAATATCACGAATCTTCAGTTTTCCGTTCTTTCAGTACCTTTATATCAATTTACATTTTCAAAATAAGAATTTATGCACTTTTAAATATTAACCGTTGCGTGGGTAATTGGATAGCATATTTTAAACAACTTTTATCCTACGAAAATATCGCAAATAGATCTGATATATCGGAGTGGAAGTTTATCGTCCGCGAAAATGTTGATCTTAGAATGCGAAGATTTTATCTGCAAAGGTCGAACGAACTTTTTCATTCGCCCTACTATTTAAGAAATTTGCACCGTCTATTTGCACGGTTAATTTGATTAAAACCGAACGCAGCATATGTCTGTCGGTTTGCGTTTTACTCCAAGGTGCACGAGGCCTCGCAACGTTGCAGGGGGTCGCGCCGTATCTCTGTCAATATTGTCCCTTCTGTCCTTTTTCGTGCAGGATGGAAGGGGTGCATCAGCGGAGCTATTGTTTGGCCAGGAATTTTAAAAGCATTAACGCACTCTTCAAACAGGCGACGTTAGAAAAATAAAGAAACAGAAGCGAAAGGGGAGAACAAGGTGGATGAAAATCGTGAACGGAATCATGTGTTTATCGACGAGAACGGCGTTGAAGTGTCAATCAGTCGAGCGTCGAGAGGTCAAATATTTGTGCTGACAATTATTCCGTCGACACGCGAGTCGACGACGACAAGGGACTTCAAGGCTCCAGTGTTCATCCCTTTCACCCTGGAACAACCTACAGCGGCTCACGAAAGTATTCAAATATCTATAGAAACATTTTACGGATATATTATGCGTGCTATAGGAAATTTCATTTTGAAATTTCATTAGCATCCCGACTAGACCTGACTATCGGGATTGCATTCGTAAATTTCCAAACGAATTTGAAAGTGTACATAAAGATTACAAGTTATTTATGTCTTTTTAAAAGTCAAACTAATCAACTCCGCTTGTTATTCGTTTCTCAATTCCGTTATATAAGTACACGATTAAATATTCAATTTCGAGAAACTTACTTCATATAAAATGTTTTACATAACACGCATAATGAACTCATAAATACGTAATGATAATAATACACGTTTTCTATAGCAAGTGCTCGAACACTTTCATCAGGCACAGTACGTTCGCGCACTTCGTTTGCCAGCAGCACGATTTATCGTAAAGTGTAATTTCCCCAATTACGTCGAATCTACACGCACCCTGCGTGTCGCGGCGAACAACACGGTGCTCGATCGGAGGAGAGAATCGATTTTCCTCCCTCTCTCGACGTCTTGTTCACGCGTTATACGTGGCGATATATCGGAAAGGGTTGACGCGACACGGGGCGAAAAGAAAAAGTTTCGAACACCGACGCTCGCTACTTTGCCTCAATTAATGCGAGCTAACGTTATTAATTAATGCCGAGCACCCGTGAAACGAACGCTGGAGGTAGGGGTGGGGTTGAAAAGAGGGCGAGGAAGAAGGATTCCTCTGGACGATCTCTCGTCTGGTCGATGTGTCACATCGAAACGGTTCGCCACCCCTCGGCGTCTTAACTTCGAACATCAGAGGCTGCCAGGGCTCTGGAGATATTATCTGCAGGAGAGTGCTCGAGAATATTATACGTGCGTGGTGTACACACCCCCTCTAACCGATCCTCTGTATCGAGGGCTGGCTACTTTAACCGTATACTCGAGCATGGCTCGAGTATCTACAGAGAAGACGCGTCCCACCTAACTATTCTCAGTGTCGACTACTGCTAATCGAATTATCGATCCCTGTCCCCTGGCTCACTCCGGAGGGAATATTAGATTTTCCACGAATTTCAATGCGAGACGCGAGCCATCTACGCCACCGTACGGGCTTCTTTCGCATTCCTGCGAGTTTTGTCGCGCTTCTTGATACGATCGAGAAATGGATCGGATAGTAATTTTGGAGAATGTTGATTGTGAATCGATTTAAACTAATTCGAAACTAGAGTTTTGTTATGGAACAAATTCTTTTAGATCGTGTCACAGGATGAAAGAAGCAATGTACCTGCTGCGTTGTTGACGGTTTTCGATTAAGAAGGAATTACGCATTTGAGTTCTCTTGCAAAATAATTTATTATATAATCGTTGACCAACGATTTGCCAATTGACAGATTACAAATTATAGGCTATAAATTTCTGCTTTATAATTTTACAATTTTACATCAAGAGAAGTTGTAAAATTTACTTGTAAAATTGAATTTCTCGTATTATCAAATTATCGTTATGCAACAGGATTTGTTCGTACTAGTAGCTTGTAACTCTCGACTTTTCACATTTTATACACGTGCTATAAACTATATATTATGTTGAACTGGATTGCATCATTTATTCTTGCACTTGAGCCTGATCCAAAATCATGTCGATGGGAAAGTCGGTCAATATAAGCTTGGCAGCAAGAAGGCAGAGTCATTGCTTCAGTCATATGGGTTTAAGTTGCGACGAATTTCAAATTAGACGTCAAGTCTTTGTTTTATCCTTCTGCAGTTGTTTGACGAGTATTATCGAATTCTCTGCCGCTTGGAATAACGAGCACCCTTCAGAGTTCTTTATCCTCTGCTAACAAGTATGTTTGACAAATATTGAAGTTACGCAGTCAACATGTGCGGCTGCTTTAATGTATATAATTCAGTGCCGTAGCTGTTATTTTCTAACCAAAGTAGAGAATTATTTAATGGATTAGTTTTATTAATCGTATATTATATTACGTTACCTACTCTAACAGAATAATCGAAATGGGGACATTTTTATTTCCATATTTCAATAATGTCAACTTTCCTAAATTATCTTTTCGTTCGGTGTCAAGAAAATCGTAACATCGTGGATAAAAAACTACAAAATTTCAGAACACTAGTCATACAGATTTTCTAAAAACTGCGAGCTTCGATTTCGCTATTTTCAACTTCCAATTTTGAAATAATTGGAGCCTATCTTATCTTCTCCTATAAAATAACCAATGATCCGCATACAAAAGATTCAAAAAATAACAGAACGGAGGTAAAAATCTTGTAAAAGCCGGGGCTTTTCCTGGAAGTCAGCCTGCAATTTCCAGCCCTAATAGAAACTGCCAGACGCGCAACTTAAGCCAGGGAACAGCCGGGACCGCGTATTATTTCGCGCAGTGGCCGCGACAGACATTCTATTTCCAGGTGTTCCCAGGTAGTGATAAATCGTGAAAACGTATCCGGGGGCACTTAGGAGCGCGAGCAACATGTATATGAGGGACATCACGTGCGTTCAAGGCACGTTTGCATGGCAGACGAGCGCGGGCGCGGGGGAAATGAAAGAAAGCGGTTGGAGATGGTGTTTCAGCGGAGACGAAGGAGGAAGAACGTCGGAGAGAAATTCCAATATGCCTCGCAACTCGGAACGGCTGTGCATGGAATGCGTTCGAGTCCTTGATTGTGCTTCGAAAGCATATTTTTCTCGTACTTCCGATATTGCAACGGCGAGTTCCTCTCTTTGTAACTGGCTGCGCCATTCGGTTCTCTCTCCGCTTCCTTCTCTTCTCCTTCGTCTTGCTAGAAAACGAGACGCATCTGCTTACAAGATGGAAGATGTATTTTTCGGTGACGCGTGCACACAGGCACGCGAGCACGCTACCGCGGAGGGGATGAAAAAAGAAAATATTGTCTGCCACGTTGAATCGCGATATCTAGTCGCGCGAAGGGGGACTAACGCGGCCTCCCTTCCGCCACCGGAGAATGTATGCAACTTCCGCCGATGGGGGAATATATATCATGCGTGCACGGAAAACACCTATCCGACCGACTGAATTGCGGCTCTATCGCGGTCGAGCTTGTACCTGCCTCTCTCGAGCAACTTCCGCCTTTAAATATCCGCTGGGAGACATCCGCGTGCATACCGAGCTAGAGTTATTAAAACTCGGTCGCGTAGCTTGTTCGATGAAAAATTTCTCGAGCACAGCTGGTACGTAATATATATATGTATACTCAAGAAAGGTGTTTCCTTGTTACAGGTGATGCATCACTGTCGCATCGAGCGTGTAGAAGAAACGACTGGCAAATCGACTCACCAATCGCCGACTATAATGCCCGCGTAACGAGCAATCGACAATCGAGAAAGCCAGAGTGAACGGAAGCTCGAGTAGGGGAAAGAAGAAACTGACAAGCGTTAGCCGTAGAGCTTCGTCGAGCACGGGAGAGTGTAAAGCGACACGCGTTTCGTAGCCCGAGTATACACGCGTATGTAACACGCGTACAACCACAGCGCGATATCTGTGCACAACGTGAGAGTTAGATTAATGATCAGCGATTAGAAATAGTCGATTAGAGGGACATTGGACGGAGAGTGAAACGCGGCATATAGGAAATTGGTAAATGACTTTGGCCGTACTGTCGCTGGACGCGCTTCCCGCGGCAAGGACCACGTACCCGCGTCGGGTACGGTAGAAACTAGGGCACAGACCAGCGTCAAGATAAAGTCAGTGAGAGCGGTGCCCCAGGATGCGCAGGAACGGGTGGTGCCGTTAGTGGTGTCCAACAGCTTGTCGGAGGGGCGCGAAGAACGAGAAGGGGGCCACGAACACGGCCCCCAAAAGGGCCTGCTGGATGGTCTAGCTCACGAGCAGCCATCGTCAGTACCCGGTGGTGGATCGCGGATCGACTCTATAGAGGCAGACCGCGAAAAGGTCGTCGAGATATCGACGGAGGACCTTGGTACCGCGTGTGGTCCAGGTCAGAGGGACGTGGATGCTGGTCAAAAAACGAGCTTCACGGTGGACGAGCAATCGAACAGTATCGTTGTTGGGCAATCAAAAGCCTGCGAGGCGTTGAGGATCGAGGATCGCGGCGGTGGCGTGACGTTGACGGAG